CAGTTGAATATTTTCTTCTTGTCCATGCTAAGAGAATTAAATTGCGCAGCACTGAGAGAGGGACAGAGTTAGACTGTCATCTTGCCTATTTAGATAGAGAAAAATAATAACAACAATAATAATTTCACATTTATTATTGATTTAGATCTCTGTTGCACTTACGGTTCATATTAGGGATACACCGATACCGAATTTTCGATATCGCTTATGAATACCGATATTTATATTTCGATACTCGCCGATTCTGAGTACAGATACCAGTACTCCTGCTAGCATGGAGCCGGCTTCTTAGGGAAGCTGGCTTCATGCTGTTAGGCCAGTTCAATGCTTCTCAGCCAATCAGCATCAAGCCAGCTTCACGGCCAATCAGGAAGCCAGAAGACAGGTTATTCCCCGCCGCCCAGCTTCCTGATTGGCTGCTTAAAACATGGAAGTAAATAAATTTTTTATGCCAAAGTAACAAAATTATAATTGCTGCGGTGCTACAGTCAAACGGTCTTTCTCCAGTACCCAACTTTTCCTGTGTGGTAAGCCATTCCTTCCAAACTGGAACCACACTATGTATTGTACTGCAACCTAATGTCCATCCCAATCCATTCAGTCTTAACCCACTTAAGATGTTATTTGTCCTGTAAGCACCTGAGGATGTGCCTAATAATGTGCAGGGGTCTGCCCTTCAAGTAACTTAAGCAAAAAAAACAGGTTGCCGATTATATTCTATCACTTCTTCATTACATTTCCCCCTTATTGTCCGCAGTAACATGCCCACCTTTCCCATCTCTGTTCCGTTCACTATTCATCTTTAATTATGTCCTATACACCATACCAATCTCTGTTTAGGTAATTGCATTCCTTAGATACTGATTTGTTGATCTAATGTTAGATCCTTATTCTGAATGCTTAGACATTTTTTACAAAATACAATTTTAGGTAACAGAATCCTAACCCATAAAGGTGAACAACCAAAATAAAGTAGCTTATAAACTATTACACTCTCAAATAGGTGTTAGAGGCTTGTTTAAAGGCTTGCTTACATATTAACTGTGTATCTTTTTCTTTAGTTTAAAGCCAAGTACAATAAATATTTTAGATCTACAAAGACTGTTTTTTATCCAGTTGACTTCTTTTAAAATGAATTTGACAGGCCTTGTACTATAATTAATTTTATTTGTTCCCTATATCACAAAACTGTGTGTATGAATTTGACAGTGTGTCAAGCAAAGTTGAATAACAGAATTCATGTGCACCAACTGGAGAAAGAAAACAGTTTTTAAATGGGTGAACAATTGAAAGCCTGAGGGTTGAAATTCTGTTGTTCTGACAATTCTATGAAAATGGATCAGACACTCTTTTATAGCAAGAAACACACTGTTTTGTAATATTTAAGGGCATATTTATAAAGCAGTTAATCATTCACTACAGGTGAATCTTCTCAGTGCATATGTTTAACAGTGATTGATTCACCATCTGTGAATACCAACTGTATTTTAAGTATTTCTTGGGAAACAGTGACAGTAAAAAAAAAATCACATGACAGTGTTGTTCCATCTCTCTCTTTCTTCGCTGTCTTTCTCCTTTGCTCTCTCTCTCCCTTCTTTTAGCTTGTCCTCTCTCTCCCCCCTCTATCCATCCCACTTTCTCATCCCCTCTATCCCTTCTTCTCTATAGATGTATAGAGAAGAAGGGTATATATAAAACTTTGAGTAGTCCATGGTGTAAAGGTGGTATGATTCCTAAAGCAATATGAGTTACCTAAAGAGAAAGCATGAAAAGTTGCTTCCATCAAAGTGTGACTGAAGCTAAAACAGTTTTTTGGATAGAGTGGAGAGGGATTAAAACACCTATCAGGTTTTTATTGCTGTCTCTGTGGCTGAGGGAAATTCATCCTTTCTATTTGCCTTGGTGACTGTTAGCAATAAAAATGAAAGTGAAAGAAAATCCCAAATTTTAGATTGTCATCAGAAAAGGAATAGATAGGAAATCATCCAATGGAGACACTAGTTCTGGTGACCCTGCTGACTGCAAGGGATTCCCCTCCCTTGTAGGAATGTCCTCTCACATCCTGTTGTGACTATCAGGCAGGTGAAGGGAAATACACTATATTGCCAAAAGTATTGGGACACCACTCCAAATCATTGGACTCAGGTGTTCCAATCACTTCCATGGCCACAGGTGTATAAAATCAAGCACCCAAGCATGCAGACTGCTTCTACAAACATTTGTGAAAGAATGGGTCACTCTCAGGAGCTCAGTGAATTCAAGCATGGTACCGTGATAGGTTGCCACCTGTGCAATTAGTCCATCAGTGAAATCTCCTTGCTACTAAATATTCCATGGTCGACAACAGCAACTGTGAACAACAGCAACTCAGCCACGAAGTGGTACGCCATGTAAAATGACAGAAAAAAGGGTCAGCGCATGCTGAAGTGCATAGTGCGCAGAAGTCGCCAACACGTAGCCTTCAGATTGGTACAACAACAGAGAGCTTCATGGAATGGGTTTTCATGGCAGAGCAGCTGCATCCAAGCCTTACATCACCAAGTGCAATGCAAAGCGTCAGATGCAGTGGTGTAAAGCACGCCACCACTGGACTGTAGAGAAGTGGAGACGTGTTCTCTGGAGTGATGAATCGCGCTTCTCTGTCTGTCATTTTGATTGACATGTCTGGGTTTGGCGGTTGCCAGGAGAAGGGTACTTGCCTGACTGGATTGTGCCAAGTGTAAAGTTTGGTGGAAGGGGGATCATGGTTTGTGGTTGTTTTTCAAGGGTTGGTCTTGGTTCCTTAGTTCCAGTGAAGGGAACTCTGAAGGCATCATCATACCAAGACATTTTGGACAATTTCATGCTCCCAACTTTGTGGGAACAGTTTGGGGATGGCCACTTCCTGTTCCAACACGAATGGGCACCAGTGCACAAAACAAGGTCCATAAAGACATGGATGAGCGAGTTTGGGAAGGAGAACCTTGACTGGCCTGCATAGAGTCCTGACCTCAATCCGATAGAACACCTTTTGAGATGAATTAGAGTGGAGACTGTGAGCCAGGCCTTCTCGTCCAACATCAGTACCTGACCTCACAAATGCGCTTCTGGGATGCCATTAAAGTTCATGTGCGTGTAAAGGCAGGCGTACCAATACTTTTGGCAATATAGTGTATCTCCAGTAGGACCCAGATGGCAAACAAATCTGACAGGGTTATAACCCTCCCTTACTCTATCCAAATTACAAAAAGTTTTGGATTCATTTCTACTTTAACCACCTTAGTACTCAAGCATTTTTTAGAAATTTTTGCTCACGTGCTAAAATCTGAATTTTTGGATAGGAAATTTCTTTAAACCCCTCAAAAAGTATATATTTTCTGAAAGCAGAGGCCCAGTAGAATTACAAAATGGTAGCTGCATTGTGTTGTCGCATGATATTTGTGCAAATGTTTTTCACATCGATATTTTTAGGACAATAACACTAAAATGAAAAAAACACAATATAATACTCAATGTTTTGGTTCAATATGAAAGATGGGGTCACGACGAGTAAATAGATATCAAACCTGTCAAGCCTTAAAATTGTGTGACTATAATTCAGCTTTAATTGAAGCCTTGTAGAGGCCTTTATGAATATCTCTGTTTTAGGTGTTTTATACCTTATTAATTATTTTTGGAATTCACCAATTTCATTTTTCACTGCCCTGTTTTTATTTTTTTCATTTTTCATTCGTGAAGCTTATTTATAACTGTTTAAAACTGATATCTTGACATTGTTGTTGCCTAATAAAAAAAATAAACTCTTGGCAAAACCTCTACTTAATTTTGCCATACTTTGACAAGTATTTACATAAATATTTTATACCCTTTTTTATGTTGATGATGTAAATCATTCTATAACAGGCATATTACATTTTTTTCAGGAGAGAGATGCTTGAGAGGGAACTTTCTTCAAAGTAGTGTCATTTTTTTCCTTAATTTTCCTGCACTTTGCCAGCTTTTTTGTGTTTTTATTTGTCAGTCTGTCAACTTTTCTATGTCTTTTACACTTTGTTGCTCTGACATTACACCTTTGGGTGTACAATTTTAGAAGTTAGGGAGCAAGTAAAAACACATTTAGCAATTAAATAAGCAGGGAAGAGTGAAATGAAAAGACATTATTTTGCCTGACTCTAGTAACATTCAGGTAGGTAATATAGCTATATTTTCAGATCAGTAATGTTTGTACTGGGTCGTGTGTGGATATTAGTAACCCGCAAGGATCGAGCATCATAAAAATCTGTTTTGTAGAGGAAAACACCAGTTGATTCACTTTCCTTGATGAGCTTTCCAAATGGCATGTAGTAACTTGAAAGGAAGAAAGCTCACACGGTTTCAAAGGAACTCAGGTATTTTTCTGTGCGTCTTTTGTAACGTTTCAAAACAGCACTTTACTAAAACACACAAAAAGAAATCCTTTTGTTTTTCTGGAATATTTTCTGTGCTTTCCTCCTTTCAAGCTTATCTGTATGTGCTTGTTATAAGTTATGAATTATGAATAATTTTTTTAGTTGTGAAGTTTTGTTATTTAGTTTTTGTGGTCAAAATTTTTACTTATCTTCAGTTGCTGTATACATCAGACTTACACATACACATTTTTCCAGTATTTTAAAGTCCTACAGTTATGTTCAATTGCACTTAGAATGCTCATCCTCCAGACTAGTATTTATCATAAACTGCACATGCATTTGTTAAAGATGAGTATACTAATTGTTTTTGTATGTTCACACTTATCATGTTATTGTAAATGTGCACATTATTATAATGCATGGTAATGCACATTACGTGTGCTGTGGTGCCCTTCATTGTAAATGGTGCACCAACACACCTCCAACACATATGTGCTGAATAAATATGTGAATGAAAACACATATGCTGTAGTGCACTTAGTTGTGGTTTAAATGGGCCCTGACTACTTTGAACTTGGCTATTATTATTTCAATTGTATATGTTATGTAATTTATTTATTTTTTTGCTTTCAGTTTGCACTGATCAAGAGTTCAGAGAAATAGCTAACAGACTAAGAGATTGGTTTAAAGCACTTCATGAAAGTGGATTCCAGAAAAAGAAGGCTAAAACAACTTCAAGACCAGAAAGAAGCAGTAAGATATTATCACTGTCCTTAAGTATATTTATTGCAGATTTGTAGGAAAATATGAAAGACCCCCATTCGATCCAGCTATGTATTCATCAAAAGTTCATTACAGGTATCCTTATAAAAGAGAGACAACACTGTCATTTAGTCAGTATCTGATGATCTGCCACAGTGCACAGTGCTGTCAGTCAAACATGTTTGCTTACATGAGAGAACCCTGGAATTACCTCATTACTGATCCATCATTGTCCAGTCAAAACTCCAACTGGGTCCTTGACCAAACTGTATTGCCTTAAAAGGTAATTCCACTTTCCCAGGTTAATTTTGGAAAATGGAATTTCCCCCACCAATCTGGCCCCTCCTCCCCCCCATCCCACGCTTCGCTTACCCATCAGCAAATGCTTTTTAGTAAGAGCATGGGGTGTGGGTGGATTGAGGAAACATATTATTTTCTTCCCTTCCCCTCCAGCATTTGCAGTGTAGCCTGTACATGGTAGCATTCCCCTGTGGTCAGTATTTTAAATTCCGCACGGTAATGGCGAGCACTCATTGAGAAGTGCTTCTGATCACATCAATGAGTGCTCACACTTGCAAGTGGAATTTAAAATACAGAGCACAGGGTACCGCTGCTGCATATGGTCCTAGACCAGCAGCCATGGAGGGGAAGGAGCGTTCATTGACAGGTAAGAGCACGGGGGTGGGGGGTTGAGGGGACAAATTGGTTCCATTTTCCCAAATTCGCCTCAGAAAGTGGAATTAACCTTTAAAAGCTCTGGCCAAAATTACAGCCCCAGCTCCCACTATTGCCGTCATATGATCCACTGCAGCTCCTTATCCAGCAGTGATAACCTGTGATCCTCCACTGTATTCCGGGCCAGCTCAAAAGTTTTGTTGCTGCCCCTCTTCATCATGTCAACACACCATCGTTGGAGTAGTCAGCACCTGTGAAAACTCCACTGAGGGACAGCCAATAGGAAGTGCCCAGGCAACATCATGGACACCTGAAGTAGGACCCTTCTATTCTGCAGTCCAGGAAAAAAAAGACTTAGGGTCTGGCACACCATGTGATCATGAATTCAAGTGACTATTTTGTGCTTTTAATTTTGTCTTTTAGAAATGTAGTTGGGAGAAAAGTTAGAGGTGGCTAGAGTAAACTTGTTAGTGTGGGTTGCCCAGAGATCAGTTTTTATTAAATTGAAGTACACCTACCCAGATAGCAAGGATAACTTGCTACAAACTTGTGGCGGGGTGAAATTGTAATTTTGTTAACTTGCTGCACATATTCCTGGCAAGCTGTAGACTTGCAGAGCACTTGCAGCACAAGTTCTAGTTGACACTTTTTGAATTTGTAGCAAATTTGCTTGGCAAGTCTACAACAAGAGTCCTGCAGGTCTTAGCAAGAGCTCTGCAAGCTCGCTGGTCTGGAGACTTGCAATGCAGACTTGATGTAATTGTGCACAAAATTGTGAAGCTTGGCAAGTCTGCAATAGCAAGTCATTTTCAAACTTGCAGCTCAATTACTTGCTATCTGGGTATCACAAGAGAATGATGTAGCCTACCATTGCTAATCTTTTTATTTAAAAATGTTGGTTCCCTGGTTGTCATGTTGATGCTTTAACCTCAATACTCTTTAAGTGACCCAGAAAAAAACATTGAGATAAAAATCTCTAGCACTTTTATTTTACAGCATGATTGTTTTTGGATCTGTGATTTAAAAGTACTAAAGCCCTTCTGGATTATAGACCTGTTTATAACATATAAAAATGAATACATACTATATACATATATCTTCATTTGGTTTTAAATCTTTTCAGAATACCATTGCAAAGTTGCTAAGAGTTTTTTATCTTTATATTTCAATATTTGGGGGATTAGCTGGGGTGCAGTACACTAACATATTTGTCACAAAACGTAGTCTTTATTGTGACTTTAGCAGGCGGCTGGCCTTCAGCCACATCAAATAAACATAGACAGTGCTTCTTATGGCAGCTTAACAAAGTCCTCAACACAAAAGTTACTGGCTTATTTCAGCAGCATAGTGTCCAAAGAGCAAGCAAAAGTCTAAATACATAGCAACACTAGCAGCTATCTCACCCAGCCATGCAGGGAATTAATCCCCATGCTACTCCCAGAGCACCCTATGCAACTAAGACCTTCTTCTCTTCCTTTCCTTTTTACCTTCCTTGTTCGATAACCAACATTGGATCTGAAAAGGCCCACTTCCAAAAAAATATGGGAATATATACCTGCTATCCAGGATATATCACTTCTGAGTGGCACTGTAAATATATTTTCTGATATGTTTCTTGAAACAATATGTCCCCTTTTTCAGAGGAGCAAACACTTTTGAAGAGGGTTAACCGTTTTATATACAAAATAAATACACATATGTATGTATGTTTTAACAAAACATCCACATGAACACCTAAAAAGAAATCATACCAATCCCAATCCATCCGAAAAAACTCTTGTTCAGGTCATTATGGGTGTTTTCAACCTCCTTGTGTACCAATAGGGTCCCTGGGGAGAATAAAGGCTGATGGTTAAAGTCAGTCAAGAAGTATTCATTCCAATACACAAACCTTCCCCCTATTTATATGCCTGAATAATTAAACTACAACCACACATACTATCCCTAAGTGGATACTTACTCCTCAATTCAAGAAAAAAGTCTCAGGTGTCCGGTCTTTCTCCTCTTCCTCCATAAAAGGCTTAACACCCTACATTACTCAACTGCGTGAGGTAAAAGCAGAATGGGTGCCTGCTATGCATGCCAGCCTTAAATCAGCAAAGTGATATTCTCTTTAATCCGTAACTATGGTGAGGATTTCAGAAGGGATAAGGCAAAAAAACAGATATAACACAAACATTTCTGTGATTATAGACATTTTGGGCAAATGAAGTATAATGGAAAATGTTAGAGCTGCCAATAAGTTGATTAATAAAGAATATGTTTAGAACATGACAGAGGTATGTTGTATTTTTGTATTTCTTAGACCTGAAGTTGTCATTTCCAATGTAACATCTTCTGATAGCTATGAAGGTCAAATATATTGTTTCTTTCTTGAACAGTGTGTACATACACAGTTGTAAATCTCCATTATGTGTTACTTTTAGAAAACAACAGTCTGATTTCCATCTTTTCTTTGTCCTTATATGTGGCAGTGGGTCTTCTGCATAGATACATACATACACACCACCAATCAGAGCTTATGTATTGCCATATCAAAGCTTAGTCATTGCTGCATGCCAAAATATAACAAAGCACACCTTTCTGGTTGATGTAAATGACAGAAGATGGATTCAACCATCAAAATAATATTTTTCAAACCAGCATGGCAAGTTCAATTTTGTGCATGCTTAAGAGTGTTCACACTGTTACCAAGTCTTTTGTCTTGCCTGAAAATTCATAGAAAAGTATATACAAAAAAGTCTATGGCTGCCATCTGTGTTACATTTATATGAAAAGCATTTTCAAGGTTATTTGCAAGCTGATTTGTGCATGATGCTATGTACTCAGTTGGTAGCTACACATAATAAGCTTTTTTCCCCCCACTTTTTGTAAAATGCTGAAAATGTACAGATACTAAGGGCTTGATTTACTGAAGGAAAATATACTCTATACTTTGCAAGGGAATTTTCTCTTTGCAAGGGAATTTTACCTTGAATGTGGTAAATATCTGCTGACTTCCATCATTCTATCATATGCAAATAGAAATTCTGTTTTTTTTTTATTTTCCTTGCATGTGATTAGATATTCTTTGCAAAATTAATTTTCAGTACATTCCCTTGCAAAATTAAAATTATCTTGCAAAGTGAACGGCTAATGTGCCTTAAATAAATCAACCCCTGAAGGTGAGGTTAATCCAAAGGGCATCATTCAATTAAATGTGTGCAGGTCAGATTCACCTAAGGATTAGTGGAGTTTATTTACCAGAAGAAGCTGTTCACTAAAGACACTAAAGAAAAGTGAATGTTAAGAAATAAGGTGAAACTGTGTTCACTTTGAATAATCAATCATGTGAGAGGATTTTCTTTTTTAAAAAGGATGTTTGCTCGCACAAGTAGCTGATTAAAGTGAACACAGCTTCACCATATTTACCAATCTCAGCAGTCACTTTACAAATGGAAACATTTCTACTCCCTATGTGCCTGGGACTACAGGGTGTACCAGTCGGTGGGAAGAATCATAGCATGCAGTTAAAAAACCCACCTAAAAGTGTTGGAAACGTACAGTGGCCAGGTAGCATAAAGTGGCTGCATCTTGAGACGTAGGCTGCCAGAGAGGTAAGAATATTTACTCTTCTTTTAGTTGGTATACTTTTGTTATGTGGTTCCAAGGTCACTTAAACACATCTAATGCAGTGCTGCAGTTTAGTTCTCATGACCCATAGTCATACTTTTCTATCAGGAAGAGTTGATAATAGCACAGGAAGCTACTTTATAATGAATAGAGGTGAATCAACAGGATGATCTGGGAAAGGACATATTCTCACAGGATAAGGCTATCACTCGCTGTATGATAAATGCTGTGTGAAATAAAAGATTTGCTTGGTGAATTAATATGATGTTAAGAGGCAATCATCTTTTACATTACATTAGTTTTCCATTAACTGATCTGTTAAAAACAGCTGTTAGCCTTAATGTGCTTCATTTATGTAAAGAGGTTACTTGGAAGCGAGATAGGAACAATTGAATTCCCTCTGAAAGAAATGATAGCAAACAGAAGTTGAACATTAATTTAAAACAATTTCTTGTTTTATAAAAGCTAAATTTAAGGTAGTAGAATTGTAGGTTTTTAGATAGGAAGATGCAAAAAGCCCAAACTGTTGTTGACTATACAGACTATTACATTAGCGTGTTTAAATTGTTTGTAGAATAAGCATGTGTGCAATATCTGTCCTGGTACTTGGAGGGTTATTCAAAAACCTTTGGCTAGCTTCGGCCGCCAGGAGCCCTTCAGTTCAGTCGAACCGAAGGGCTGCTGTATGGGCTATTCACGATAGCCCATACAGCTCCCGAAGGCGGTCAAGTGGCTCAGCCGAGCCGAAGGCATATGCTTTGGCTCGACCGAGCCAAACTGAGACACGAAGTGGGCCGAACGGCTGGCCATTGGCCGGCCAAAAGCATTGCAACTGACAGCAGGGCGGAGCCCAGCTGGAGGTACTGAGCAGAATAGCTGAGCCGAATGCCGCTATGTGAATAGGGGAAAACGGGAGTGAGTGAGCTGCCGGAGCTTCGACTCAGCCGATCCAAATGTTGGATCAGCTGCGTTGAACTCCTTCTGCACTTCGGCTCAGCTGAACATGCTGAGCATGTTCGGCTGAACCGAAGCAAGCCGATGTATGGCTGAAATAAGCCGTACAAGCCTAAAGTGAATAGCGTAACAGCTCACTTCACTTCGGGTGGGTTATTCACTCGGCTGCCTTCGGCAGCTTTGTGATTAACCCTCTTAGAGCAGCACAGTTATAGGGGGCAGATCTAAGCTTCAAAATTTGCAAATTGTGCCCACTTCTTCTGACCACCTCTGGACAATTGTGGCTAAATTTAGCAAGAGAATTGTCACCGGACTCCTCCCCCCTTCCCTTCGTTAGCCGACAGAGCCACTTGGGGAAGGGGGAGGAGTCCGGTGACGTCGATGTCCGTGACGTCACCGGATCTCCGACGGGACTCCCGGAAGCCGGCGGAGAGGTGTGTATTTTCATTAGTGATCAAAACATTTTTAATCGAGCAAAAAGATTAACGATTAATCGAGAAATTAATCGTTAATTTGCACAGCCCTACAAAACATATGTTACATTATTATGTGTTATTGTCCTATTGTCTAATGTGTCTCTTTCACCCTTTGTAGGATTTGATACCAGCATTCTACCAATATGCAGGGATTCTCTTGGGTGGATGTTTAATAGACTTGATAGAAATTATGACCTGCTACTGGATCAGTCTGAGCTGGGAAGCATTTATATTGACAAGAATGAGCAATGTACCAAGGCTTTCTTCAATACATGTGACACATACAAGGACAGCTTAATATCCAACAACGAGTGGTGCTACTGCTTCCAGCGCCAGCAAGGTAACTAAAATACAAGAAACATGCCAGAGTAATAAAATAAATTGATTTTTAAAAATACAGCTCTCTTTTAAAGTCAAAATATTGCTGTTTCAAGTGTTCAACATTGAAAAAGCCTTCAAACTGTACAATATAGCTTTTTTTATATGAATGTTTGAAATTCTGTTTGGCATCTCAATGACAAACCTTTCAGACAGTTGTGTTCCAAAAAATACTTTTTTTTAATCAAGATTCCTTTTAAATAATATTTTTAAACAGTGGACATTGCTAAACATGGCCAAAAAACTAATCTACATACTTTGGCCATGTGTAATATGCCCAGCCTCTCCTCCTTGCCTGCAGGTCTCTGGCCGCAATTACCACCATGCTATTTAATGTTTCTGCTCTTGTGTAAACTGTCACTCACAGAACAGTATCTACAATGTCAAGAACAATTACAATAAACAAATGTTATCATTGATTCATTGTAACTTCTTTGGTTTATTCATAGCAGATCAAAGGTAATCCCTTTGATGTGATATCAGTTTTGATAGGATATCAGTTAAAGCAACATTTTAAGTAAAAAAAATGGTGTTACTATTTAACCCGTCAGTAACGTTAGTTAACCCTAATAAGCTCTAATTAACTCCTGTCTCTCTTTTTTTTTCCTTAGCTATTACTTTGCTAATCTCTTTTAAATTACCATTAATATGTAAATTCTTTCGTAATTTTCATTCCTTTGTTCTTTTTTTAGTGACACATTTTTAAAAAGTACAAAATTTAAAAAAGATGCCTTTAAATTGTAGATAATTTATTTTTGGATTGTAATAAAAACAACTATTTAATAGAACTTGTTATCAACTCTAGCACTTGTTGTTTTAAAGCTAACATTGGTCAAACTTTAATTTTGTTACATCTTTGTCTATTACATAGAGAATTAAAAAAATCAAGACTATACTGCTAAGAGAAAGCCTTGTCTATAGTGAGAAAAACAATATGTATTACTTTGAAAAAAAAAATTATCAATAGGCTATAGCTCAAATGTACGAATTGCTCTGGTTCATAAGGGATATACAGGTGTCAGAGCTGAATTGGTTAATTGTTACATGCACTTTGAATACTTATTCCTTTTTTTTGCCTCTGCATCCTGGGCTCCTGCAAAAAAACGCAGTTACAAGGAGTACCAATTTTGTTCATAAATATGTGTTTATTTCCCCGCTTCTTCCTGCTGTTCCTGCAGCAGGGGTTCCAAGCCACCACAAGAGATGAACTGCTTAACTGCCCAGTAAAAAATCATCTCTCATCTTCCCTTCTTCTCATTCTCCCTGCATCCTCCAGTTTGGAAACAGGTACCCATTGCAATTTCCTTTTTTAAGAAGGCTCTAGGACAAGTAAAAAAAAGGATAACAACTGGAATGTGCACTTATAAATTTAAATAAAGCTATGCTTTCAGTAACCCCCTCTGCTGACTGACAACTTTGCTAGTAGTAGTAGTTAGTAGTAAAACACTTTTTAGTAAATTACCCCCAATGATGTTATTATCTTTGCAATGACATCACCACAAACATATTTAGTCAAATAATGATATAGTGATAGCTATCTGTTGCTAATAAGGTTTGCCATGGGAAGGAATTATAGACTGCCTATTTTAAGGAACATATATAAGCTATTTTGTAATTTAATTTTTTTAATTACCTTTCTATTCCCATCTGCAGCTGCTGTAATTTTTGTAATATTAAAAAAATTCAGTGCAACATGCATTGGTGTACAGAATGCCCCCAGAAATGTGATTTCCTGCTTGTTTCATTGGCTCACAATTTTTTGCAGAAGTCTGCACTGAGATACAAAGTAAAGTTTTAGATATTACCTGCATGCAACAGGGACTTTATTTTTGGTGAAATACTCACTAAGGGCGTCATTCGCTAAGTTGTCCTTCGGCTATTCACTTCGGCCCTGTACGGCTAATTTCAGCTGTACATCGGCTAACTTCGGCTTGCATTGGTTCACCCGAACATGCTCAGCATATTCGGCTGAGCTGAAGTGAAGGAGCCGTTTGACTCAGCCGATCCAACATTCTCATAGGTGCCGAAAGTTAGTGAGTAAATAGCTGAATGCCTCAGCTATTCTGCTCGCTACCTTGGAGGTAACGAGCAGAATAAAAAAATTACATTAATAAATGAAAAAAAAAAGCGTGGGGTCCCCCTCCGGATCCATACCAGACCATTTAGGTCTGATGTCACGGCTGGCTCCGCCCAGTGAATAAGACTTGTCTACTTAATGGATGCAAATACTGCAGCTTTCATTATAACACTGAGATTTGCTCAGGTGGTTATAATGAAGGCTGACTCTCCCATTCAGGAGCTGGTCAGGGCATAGATAAACAAACAGCTATTTCTTCTGAACAGAATAATGTAGGAATATGCAACAAGGTTTGTTAAAATCCTTACAACGTATGTCAACTAGAGGGCATTATTTTTTTTCTCATGTGGAATTGTTTTCTTATTCCTCCACAGATCCGCCTTGTCAAACTGAGCTTGGTAATATTCAAAAGCAGCAAGGATTAAAGAAGCTTCTTGGTAGGTTTATTTATATTTTAAAAGTAATAATAATTTCTATTATGCTAATATCAAGTTTATATCCAAAATGCTTCAACCAAAATAATTGTAGAGAAAGCATGATTTTATGGTGCCCCCTGTCCAAAAAGAAAAAAAGTGCATCATCATGGGGCATCATCTTGCATACCTCCCAACTTATCTACTTGAGAAAGAGGCATACCTCAGTGCAGGGATAAACATGCTGTACACACAGTGCAAACAGTAAATGCAAGACTGCACTTTTCATCATATCTTTCGATGCCTGTGCTGAAAAGGTATTCTCAAACTTTTCTGATAAATTCAATTGTAGTCTGCCACTCCCTCATGTTGCTGCTCAGCTCTGCAGGCATTGTGGCCCCAAGCCACAACACTGACACAACCTCCCTCAGCCTCTTTAAATATCTGTCTCCAAGAAGCAGCCACTGGGATTGAGGAAGCAGCAGAGTGACAATACATTAGTGACATTACTCATCACTACCAACACACTCCCAATGCCTGTGTTTGGAAGGCAGAGTCCTGCTGTCAAATTATAGCGGTGGGCAGCAGAAGGTCTCTGCCATTAAGCGCCCCATGGGCCACAAATGAAGTACATTTAGGCTGCCAGGACAGGACAAATGGCTCACCCCTCCTGTTCCCCATCAGACCTCTTTTGGCTCCAGGCCGATAGCAGCCATTTGCGCTGCTATGGCAGAAGGTACACCAATGACACCAAGTTATTAGTACGCTAGATGCACAGGTTAAGGTAAGCATGAATCTTTAGTGGTTTAGTAAGTGTTAGGGGTTAGGTTAAGGTTTGTGTAAGGGTCAGGGGTTAGAGGTTAAGTTTAGGGTTAAGATTTTTGGGTTAAATTGACATTAAAGTCACATCCCCCATGTCGCTTTAAGGACTTACCCTAAATGATGCCTCTTGATCTGAACATCTTCTTCTTTCCAGGAGTTTTCTGGAGTCCCTCCAGGATTGGTGCTGGTCTCTGATCCAGTGCCGACCGCTGTGTCTTCTGTGTCCCATGGTGTCTGTCCGTGTGCACGCGGCAAGCTGTGTGCATTGACTTACTGTATACTGTGTCTCTCCTTGTCTCCCGGCCAAAGATCTCTACTGCATATGCGCCCGCCCCATGATCTTTCACGGCCACTCGAAAATCTACAGATCTTCGTACAGGAACGAGCGGCGGAGACATAGGTAAGTTTTTACCTATTGGTAACTTTTTTTATGTTTTTGCATATATTTACTGCTTGCTAGCAGTATATATATATGCAAAAAAAACCGGAAGGTTTAATTGTACTTTAAGGCTAGGTTTATGATTTTTGAGGTTAAAGCCAAACTCCAGCTTTAACCCCTATATCCTTTTAACCCCTGCTTTAGTCACATCCCTCACTCCCCATATTGCTTGGAAGCCAAGAGTTATATGTAGGAGCCATCATGCTGCAAGGTTAGATTTTTATAATTGACAGCAACCCTCCACATATAACATATATTTTTAAGCTAAGCTACACACCCAGTGCGTTGTGTAAATGATCATTTATTACCAGGGTTTGGCTTTATTAATAGGGACATTTTTAGGGCTCAAGTGTTTAGGTAAAGGTCGATTCCCAGCCCGACACGATTCTCTAGATTCTACCGGAGAGTGGTCCGTTTAGCAAACATAGCTTCACCTTACTTTTAGGAACAGCTCCACCAAACACGGCCGCTACTTTGAGTATGATGAAAATTGAATACACAAAGGGTCTGATGTATTATGTTAATTGACCAGTGGCTGGCTTGAGGCTAGTGGATGGGACCGAAACATTTCATTATGCCACTGTGCCTTGGAACATATTGTCTCGCTTGAGGTTTTGTTGCTCGTAATGATATGTACACTTTTGTATTCAATGCTGAACAGTTGGCTGCCTGCATGCAGACCTTTGCGTTTACTACCTGCGTCAGACTAAGCTTTTGTTCAATAAATGAAGATTTTAAAAAAAAAAGTATTTAGGTAAAGGTGAGTAAAGTAAAAGTGAGTGTGAAGTTAAGTGCTAAGAGTTAGAGAAAATCCTTTGCCCAATTATACTCTGGATGAATGCAGTTAGCAGTGGCAATCACACCGGTAGATGGAGCTAAGGAGCATAGGAAATCCTTTGCTCCTTAGTTCCCTCTATTTGCGGAAATGCTGTAAGAACGGCATTCGCCCGGCATATGGCTGGACAGATGATTTATAAATTATCCTCTGCATTTTAACTTAGTTTGTGGGGTTAGGTTTTAGGCCGGGTTCACACCAGGGCGTATCTTGATCTTGCATCAAACTTGCACAAGGTATTGGCACCCCAAATGCAGCCAAGCAAATGCGTTTTTCCCATGTGCGTGAGAATGCACACAAACACGTGGGAAAAACGCAGAATGCACTTGTACTTCTTTTCCACAGTTGGTGCATGTCAAGGGACCCAAAGGAGATCAATGGGGACGCACATTCCTGCAACACTATGCCCAGTGTGAATGGAGGCTTAGGGTGTACAACCTAAAAAAATGAAGGGGTCTATTCACTAAGCTGCCGTAGGCAGCCGAGTGACTAACCGACCCCAAGCGAAGTGCTGGTACGGCTGATTCCAGCCTTATATCGGCTGAAATCAGCCGTACATCGGGTGGCTTTGCGTGGCTTTGGGTCGGCCAAACATGCTAAGCATGTTTGGCCGACCCGAAGTGCAGAAGGAGTTTGACTCAGCCAATCCAACATCTGGTTCGGCTAAGCTGAACCTCCGGCAGGCTACTGGCTGCTGTTCTGTCTATTCTCATAGATGCCGAACAGCAGTGAGTAAATAGCCGAAGGCCGCTGCCGCATTCAGCTCGGCTGTTGTTCTGCTCGGTCCCTCTGTGGGACCGAGCAGAATAGAAAAATAGTTAAAAAAGTAGGGGAAAAAAAGATTAGAAAACGATTGTGCAGAGCTAGCACTGTTTTCTACTGGCCGGGCGGTTCTGCTGTCGTAAAAAAAAAAACAACCGAACACACCATAGGAATGCATAGCTAGATTGCTATTGGCTATTGCAATTTGCAATAGTCAATAGCAAACTAGCTATTGCACCCGCCCTCTGCTGCTGTCAATCACCAGAGGAGGACCTGATGGAGAACTGCAGGTCCCCCTCTGCTGATTGACAGCAGCAGTGGGCGGGTGAAATAGCTAGTTTGCTATTGCAAATTGAAATAGCCAATAGGAATCTAGCTATGCATTCCTATGATTTTTTTTTTTTTCTGACGGCAGCCAAAATGGCTCCGATGTCAGAAGAAAAAAAAACGAGCAGGGAAAGGTTGACTCTGCTCAATCGAGCAGGGTGAACCTTTCTGGGAGAAAGTGTTTCTCTCCCGGGCGGCCGGGAGTCTATTAGAGTCCCAGAGCGTCCGGCTGAGGAATGACAGATGGCGTTCCTGGTTACCAGGTAGCCAGGAACGCCATCTGTCATTACCCACTGAGAACATGGAGAGGCCGCTCTCAGTGTGTAATGACAACGTCCCTGGTTAGCTGGTAACCAGGGACGCTGATCTCTCTGAAAGTGGCCAGAGCCAGCCGTGAGAAGACGGCTGGCTCCGCCCAGCTGTCAGTAGCAGGCTGTTGGCCAGTTGCTCAGCCAGCTTCAGCTTTCACCTCGGCTCAGTCGAGCCGAAGCATAAGCTGCTCGGCTGACTTCGGAAGCTGTACAGGCTATAGTGAATAGCCCGTACAGCAGCCCTTCGGTTGTACTCAACCGAAGGGATCCTGGGGCCGAAGCTAGCCGTGGGATCAGCCAAAGCTACGTGAATAGACCCCTAAGTGTTAGCCTAATGGTTAGGATAAAGTTTAGCTTCAGGGTACAGTGGGGGATTTTTTTTCCTGAATAAATATTCAACATTTCTCTATGCAGAGAAATAGCACTGAATTGACTCCCCATTGGAAGCTTCCCTGCAATGTAAGTATTGTGGTTACAAATTTCTTATAATCGGTTAGCACTGGGTGGGTATATTTGAAATTGTGGTCCTGCGTAGAGGCTAAAACCTGTATTAAAATGTGAACTGCTGCAAGTAAGAAAATGTGTCAAAAGTTTTCAGCATAACTAATGAAAAAAGACAAGTATATAATTTTTGTCCAGTTGTATATTGTTGTACTTTGTGTCTCAAGAAACAAACACAAATAAAGCAATCTTGTGTTCAGTGACATGAGTAAACCTACTAAAAACTCAGTGAGGGATGACGTTACATAAGGAAAGAAACAGTTTATTTCTAAAGTATACATTCTTTAAATAAAAACATGTACATAAAGCCAGTATTAGTATGTAGTAGTAAAATATAAAAATGAAAAGTGTGAATTTGTTCAAAATAATGTATCTTCTTGTGTGTTGAATTGGAATATATTATATACATATATAGGTGTACATTGCTAGAATAGTAGAAGACCTGGCATACTGAAAGGCACACTGTAGAGAATATCCCAAAAATATGCTTAATTAAAGTTAGTATCTTACAAATGCACATAAACCCTTAGAACACAGGATCATTTTAAGAAAAAAAGAGTTAACACTTTGTCTGAGATGATCTTTTAACCTTTTAGGAGAACTTCATAAAAATAGTTGGGGAACACTCAGCAAACAACAACTGTTGACACTTAATACTTTGGCCTGGAGTATGTAATATACAGTACAGTTTACAGTAAGGACTATATAATGTACACCATACAGGGGTGGATATGTAATAGGGGTATGTAAAATACAACACAGTGTGTAGACTACAGTGCGTTACACACTATACAACATAATGTATAGTGTTCACAGATCAGATAACATACTGTGTAGCACATGTAATAGTGTGCAGTGGCCCAGAGTATGCAACCTACAGCAGAGCTTACAACGTGCAGTGGACAGGACAGTAGGTTGTAACTTACAGCACAGCTTATGGAGTGGACTGTTTCAGAGTAGGTAATGTACAGTCCAGTTTACATAGTTCAGTAGCCAAGAATTTATAACATACAATATAGTGTATAGAGTAAAGTGATCAGGCAGGTATAATGCACAGCTATAATGCACAATGCATAATGCACAGCTTACAGTCGAGTGCTTTGAGTTATGTAACCTAAAAGGACACTTTACCAATCAAAGTGGTGTTATGTAATATATAGCACAGCTTACAGAGCTGTGTATTGTTTCCATAACATTTTATTAGTCTTTTATCATTTGCACTACAGTACAAAAAAGATAAGCACACAACAAACAATTTACACAGATTTTGAATCAGTTTGATCACATTGTGTCTGGAGGCAAGAGTCCATTAAAAATACGAAGTTGTGAAGATGCTAGTGAGATAGAATTCCAAAGCAGGCTCTACCACATAATATATTTCTATGTAGGCATCAACAACAATAAAACAAAACACTTAGGGGTCTATTCACTAAGCTGCCGTAGGCAGTCGAGTGAAAGACTGACGTGAAGTGATCCGAACGCTGTTCGGCTATTCACTTCAGGCTGGTACGGCTGATTTCAGCCGTACATCGGGTGGCTTCACGTGGCTTCGGGTCGGCCGAACATGCTGTGTCAGAATAGAAAAAAAAATAGAAAAGAATAGAAAAAAAAGAAAAAGCAGTGTTTCTCTCCTGGGCAGCCGGGAGCGGGAGACTCTCGGAGCGCCCAGGAGAGTTTGCTGTCTGGAGATCAGTGTGCCTGGTTAGCTGGTAACCAGGGACGCTGATCTCTCTGCAAGTGACCGGAGCCAGCCGTAAGATCACGGCTGGCTCCGCCCAGCTGTCAGAAGGAAGCAGGCTGTTGGCTGGCCAATAGCCGGCCAGCTTCGGCTTTCAGCGCGGCTCAGCTGAGCCGAGGCATATGCCTTCGGCTCAACTGAGCCGCTCGGCTATGTTCGGGAGCTGTGCAGGCTATTGTGAATAGTCCGTACAGCAGCCCTTCGGTTCAGGGTCTTGGGGCCGAAGCTAGCCGAAGGATCAGCCGAAGCTACGGCTAGATCCTTCGGCTGCTTCGTGAATAGACCCCTTAGACTGAAAGTGAAACTTGGGGGGTTATTCACTAAAGGGTGAAGAGTTTGGAGAAGGCAGAATTTTCCCATTGAAAAGCATTGGGATAAGCCATGCGAAGCAAGCCGATGTACGGCTGATTTCAGCCGATGTACGGCTGAAATCAGCCGTACCAGCCTGAAGTGAATAGCCGAACAGTGTTCGGTGTTTAGTGTTCACTTCTGATCGGTCATTCACTCGGCTGCCCTCGGCAGCTTAGTGAATAGACCCCTTAGTGTTCCTGTTCATTCATTACCTGTGGAGATAGTATGTTTACTATGTCCACAATCATGAATGAACAGTAGTCCTGTTCATTCATAATTGGGGACACAGTATACTATGTCCTCAAATATTTACAAGCAGTCAGCGATTAGTGCAGAAGGAGAGCTTGGTCTACTTTGACAGCTGACTCCTCCCCCACACCACCAGCTCGGCCTCTTGGGACCACTCACAGCTGTCTCCACTCCACACCGCTCTCCATCCTGTTCTGTCATGTGAGGCTGAGCTGAGAGGTGCTCCATTCGGCCTCCTGACAGTTTCTCTCCTCCCCTGGATGCTGCTTTGTGTCAGAGCAGACACAGAGCTGTGCCCAGTGAGGAGGAGAGAAACTATATATGCACTGCAATTTCTGCATTTTGCAGAAAGTACCATTCTCAGACGATATGTTTGAACTTTTAATTTTTTTAATAAATTGTATATTTCACACTTGACTAATTTGCTTTTTACCCTTTTGTGTAGTGCCAGGCAGCTGCAAAGCCTCTATCTGTTCCACAGTCTATAATTCACAAGTTGTTTTTCACTGTCTTCCAGCTCTATCCTTTGTTACTCTTTTCATTTGTGAGGTCCAGGTCTCTGTTGACTACTTTCATTCTTCATAATTTATTGGACTGTTGGCTGCTTTATTGATGGCTAATATTGGGTATTTTGTTTGTGCCATATGGCAACATTACAAAAAATGATCACATACATTCCTCCAATTAGACCCATAACTATAGATTCATTGGGGTTGAAAAAAAGGGGGTCTTTCACAAGCAATGTATGAAGCATAAATACAAAACATTTATTCACTTATATCTCAAAAAGAAAATTACTTGCTAAAGTTATTACAGACATATATTGTAATAATGGCTGAAGTATTGCAGGGATAGTTGCTCACCTCACAGCAATAGATGCAGGATTACCAGACATCAAGGAGAATAGATTTAGGGGGCCAAAGCACTCAGCCGAGCCAAACGCTCATGCGTAAAAAGTGCAGAAATAATGTTTTAAAGTCCCCCGCTCCCCACATGCACACACATACATATGCAAACATGTGTCGGTGCGCCTACGTGCAGTGTTACATATTGCCATGAACGTCGGAGTGAGAGCAATAATTCTAGTGCCAGCAATCACTGCTAACACTAAACTGATGACCAGTAAAAGCTTTTAAAGTGTCTGCTATGGGAAATTTCTTGTATTGTAGTTTTTTGCGGCTTCACAGGCGAACGCAATTTTAAGGGTTGACATGTTTGGTATCTATTTACCCAACGTGACCCCATCTTTTACATTTTACCAAACAAATGGGTATTGAAGTCTGTTTTTGTGCATTAAATTTTATTTTAGTTATTTTATCCTAAAAATCATTATTTGATAAACATTTGCGAAAATTCTGTGCAACATAAAACATTTCAACTAGCATTTTATTATTCTACGGGGCCTCCGCTTTCAGAAAATATATCACTGTTTGGGGGTTTGAAGAAGCTATTTTCTAGCCAGAAATTTTGTTTTCACCCAAGCCCTACAGAGCCACCCACAGGCATTTTTGAAAACTAGAAATTAACATTACATGTCTATTTTTAGTCTATCCAATTTCAACAGGACCACCAACAGCCGTTTTCTGAATCTATAAATTATTTATTTATTCCCAGGGAAAAAAGCTCACAATCTATTTGCACTTAAGCCCCAATTTCAACAGGACCAACAGCTATTTTTGACTGTATGAATCACCATTACAGTTTCATTAACTCCCAGAAAAAAATACAAAATATTGCTGTACCTACTTTGCCAGTATTAGTTTATTTGCAATCAAGTCCACAAGAACACCAACAGCAATGTTTGAATGTATAAACCAATATTATTATGTCATTTATTCCCACAATATGCCCACTAGAGACTGGTTTGCCAATGTTTTAGTATTAATTGATTTGCAGTCAACCCTTTATTTTAACACGACCATTAACAGCCATTTTGAATGTATAAATCAATATTACTGTGTTATTTATTCCCAGGGAAAAAGCCAACATGAGATTGCTGTGCCTATGTTCCGTTATTAATTTATTTGCACTCAAACCTCAGTTTTACCCCTTACCACCAACAGCCATTTTTTTATATACAGTAGAAATTAACATTACAGTGTCATTTATTTCCAGAAAAAAATCCCTCAAAAGATTGCAGTGCCTACATTCTCAATTTTAATTTATTTGCAGAAATGTTCTACAGAAGGAACCCAAAATAGGATCTGTAAAATGGTGACCTATGAGAAATATTTATTTGGATATGCATATTGGTGACCTATGAGAAATATTTATTTGCATATGCATAATGGTGACCTAGGAGAAATATTTATTTGGATATGCACAATGGTGACCTAGGAGAAATATTTATTTGGATATGCATAATGGTGACCTAGGAGAAATATTTATTTGATACGAACTGTTTAGATTGGGTGGAACATTTAGCGCATAGTCTATGCAGGAAGTGAAGAAAAACAGTAATTATATTTTGTTTTCTATATGTCTACAATATTGACCTTTTTTAAAATGTATTAAAAATATTGACAACGCAAATTGTGCCATTTCTAATGTAGTACCATAATAATTTGCAATCTTTGCTGATATATGTAAACTGTGGAAAATCCATTTGAAAATGTCTTACATGCCTCTAAACTAACAAAAATACTATAAAATTAATAATTTCCATTTGCAAAAAAAATCTGATTTATATTGTTAATGCTAACCTGTATATTAAACATGTTTTGTTTCTAAAGGACACTACATTCCAGCATGTGATGAAGATGGGTATTATAAACCAGCTCAGTGTCATGGAAGCATTGGTCAGTGCTGGTGTGTTGACAGATATGGAAATGAAGTGACAGGATCCAGAAAAGTTGGCTCAGTGGAATGTGGTAATTTTCCATGTTTTTTTACATTGGGTACGATGGGTTAGTTGATGTTATTCTGCTACAACAAAAGCACAAAATTATTTACATACTCAGATATTACTAATAAACTGTATATTATATACATATATCACCAGTGGGTAAAAGCTAGACCAATGTAAGCATGCATAATACTTTATACCTGGAGTTTAGCTTTAAGTGGAAATGCTTAGATTAGTGGTAATATGTTTTCCTTTTTTATAATTATGAAAGGGTTTTATTTACTAAAGAAACACTTTTCACCTGTGTTAATTTAAATACTTAAGCAATCTCTTTTATATTTTTTCCTTGAACCTGATTGGATTACTTGAACCCAGATTAGTGGGAAAGTTACTAATCAGCTTGTTATTTGTTGTTGGCACAATATACAGACATTGACAAATTTTTTAGCATCCATCTATGAAAAAAGAACCCACAATTTTCTTTGAAAGGGTTTGAAACTGACAAAACTAATTTTTTTTATTTTATATTTAATAAAAATCAGACTTTGATTTCAATTCAACAGAATATTTAAAATAATGATACAAATGAAAATGCCATGAACAAAAATTATGGGACCCTTAACCTAACACTTTGTTGCACAACCTTTAGAGGCCATCACTCTGAACATGCAATTTGTGTAGCTCTTAATGAGACTTTGGCACCTGCCAACAGGTAATTTGTCCAACTATTCTTGAGCAAACTGCTCCACCTGTTTCAATTCAGAATAGGTCAATGTCATTTTTGTTAGTCATTCTTGGGTGGTTTTAGCTGTGTGTTTTGAGTCATTATCCTGTTGGAGGATCCATACCCTGCAACTGAGACAAAGCTTTCGGACATGGCCTGTATGTTTCACTCAAGCCTCCTCCATGCTTTACAGTCGGTACAATGTTCTATTGTTTAAAAGCTTCATGCTTTTGTTTGTGAACATATATCTGATGTGACTTGCCAGATAGCTCCAGTTTTGTCTCAGCTGTCCAAAGGATATTCTCCCAGAAGCATTACAGCTAATCAGTATCAATTTTGGCCAATTTCCTTTTCTATATTTTCATGTCTTCCTTTGAGTCCACTGCTGCCTGAAAAGAGATAGACAGTGAAAGCAGACACTGATGTACCTTGACCTTGAAGTTCAGCCTGTATCTTTTTGGAGGTTTTCCTTAGCTCTGTGTCTACGATTTGCACTACCCACTTTTGTTCAGTCTGCGGTTGTTTTTCCTCTTGCAGCCACATCCAGGGAGGTTGGCTACATTCCCATGGACCTTAAACTTCGTAATAATATTTAGTCACAGGAACATCAAGCTGCTTGAAGATGGTCTTACAGCCTTTACCTTGACATGTGGGTCTATAATTTTCTTCATGATCACCTCAGACAGTGCTCTCCTGTGCTTTTTCTGGTCCATGTTCAGTGTGGTACAAACACTAAAATCAAACAAAAGAGTGCCTACTTTTCTCCATTTAAATAGGCTTACTGACTGATCATATGAAAACATGTATGATATTAATTTGATAGGAATGACAGCAAGCAATAACTTTAAAAATATCACTATATTCCATTTATTTATAACCTTTTTCTGGGGGTACCAACAAATCTGTCCAGGCCAATTTAGAATATCTTTGTAGTTCCTCTTTACAACGATGGTGAATGTGTTTAGTATATTTTAAGAACTTGCCACTAGCTAATAATTATTATTAAAGCAGCACAAATCCAACCATAATGTTTCTTTATAGAACGGAGAAAAGCTGTAATCTAAGGTACATGTTTATTATTGTATCTGTCTGCACTGACCACAAATTACTTCCCATCCAAAAATATCCCTAATAAGAATAAAAATAAAAATGGACAAAGGTTATAACTCTTTACCACTGTATTAAGATAGTGCCTAATATTTGCTATCTATGTGCCCTCATTTCCTGTCCTTGTGGCCACCATGGAGGTGAGATGGAATCTTCCCACTGGGGTCACAGACAACAATAAAACTATGAAAGAATACTATACTCTTCTAGTCTCTATTCAACACATATTAGAAATGGCTTAAGTTGGTCTTTAAAGTCTGTACATTTGTAAAAATGCCCATAAATTGAAAATACAGACAAAATTAAAATGGAAGTGTTAGAAACTGTCAGTTCTGTATTGTTGCCTGTTCACAGTAGAACACTTTTCCATAACTTTCCTGCCCTAGTGGCTGATGTCTTCAGGGTAGAGTGAGGAAAGTCAGGACCTTTATTAACTTTTGGTACCAATAGCAATGCTGGGGAGACATCGCAAGACACCTTACCTCTAACTCGTATCTACTCAGATTGTTTACCAAGTATAGTATGTGGTATTGTATAAAACAGACATGTAATCTGCTGACTGGTTTTTAAAGCTGACCTGTAATCTGGTGGCTTGTGTAAAAAGCAGATTTGTTCTCTGGTAGACAGTAAAATACACTCGCTCTTACCAGCTATATGACAAAGTCTGCCAATACCCCTGATGCACAGAAGACCAATGAAGGAAATTTGTTTCTTTATACAAAATAAATCCTAAATATGTGCCCCCACTAAACATGTGTAAGATAAATCAAAATTACTTTCATGTACATTATTACCTTAACGCCTTCTCGACCGATGACGGCATTATTCTGTCATGGTCTTTCAGTTCCTTAAGAACATGCATGGACCAGCGCTCATTGAGTTAATGCAGTTGATGGGTCCCTAGGGGTCCTCAACATCAATTTAGGTGGTCACAGCACAGTGTTCACTTCGATAGCTGATCACTGTGATCACCGTGTTGTGACAGCCACTGAGTCAGCTTTTAGCTTACTGTGTTGTGGAGCTGGAAGCCAGCTTAGTGTATTACAAAGTGATACATAGGGAGAGATTTACTAACCTAAACACGCGTACGCACTAGGTGCGTGTGATTTTTACACTGCAAAACGTATTTATCAACCAAAAAGTCTCTAAAAGCATATTTCCACTAATGCCATATATGGAAAAATCATGCACATGATGCATATATAATGCTGCTTCACAGTTTAGACAAAAATGGTTAGCTCATGCATTTACATTCCTGCATTCATCAACGCAAGCAACAAAATGTAGAGCTAATTTACACAACATCACCTTGCAATTCATGCAGGGCTTTGCACAACACACCTGCTGGGTGTGTACACACTACAAAGGTGTCTAGATTCCACCAATGGATCATGCTGGGAGGGAACACACTACAGAGGTGTATACTTGTTTGTGGCGTGTTTATAAGGTTAGTAAATCAACCCCATAGTATATCTCAGGAGAATACAGTATCTCCTCAGAATACTTAGTATAAAAAGCCCCTTTAGATAAAAAAATAACCCTTTAGTTCCCCCTAGTTAAAAAAATGTAACTAAATATTAAATTGTTTTTATGACAGGCGGTGATTCAGACACATCAGGGGATTTTGGAAGTGGAGACTTTCATGACTGGTCTGATGATGAAGATGATGATGATGAAATGATGAACGATGAAGATGAGATTGAAGATGATGATGAGGATGAAGGAGGCGATGATGATGAAGAAGATGAAGATGGTTATATTTGACATAATATAGTACAAGATAATTCTATTTTTCATGTCTACAAAGAAAAAGACATCTCTTAGGAAATACCTTTTGCTCACGTCGCCACCAAGTAAAAAAGGATTTGAAAAGAAAACTAAACATGTATATTTTGTATGATCATTCCAGTTAAATCTGGAGCCATAGACTTATGTTTCAAAGTCATTCATGTGCATTTGAGCTTTTATATGCTTTTAGCAAGAAGAAAAACCCATTGGAAGAACAACCTAAAGAAAATCAAACAACCAGCACATCAGTTGAAGAAAAAAAAATTCAACAAAGTGTAAAGGTAGCGGCCCTTGGCTAGACGTCTGTGCATTTCCTTATTTGCAAATGAGTACTAAAAGAAAATGACAACTTGTTGGTGAAAAACTCTGACAATGAAAATTTTCCTCATTTTTGTTTACAATTATTTCCTCAGAATATGCAGATACGTGTTTGTTTGTTGTTTAGTGGGCTTTTAGATTTGTTGTCTTATTATGTTAGCTTTTTCTCAATATTATTTTAGAAGCATTGTATGAATTTTGTTATTAGCAGAGCAGCATGATATTAAGTATAATCTAGCCAATACAATTCTTCTCTGAAAACTGTGTACTTGAGCAGGTAATCAGCACCACTTGTATAAGCAAGACTATGCTACAATATGTGTTAATATTGTCATATACCGTACAGTTAGCCACTATAAGCCTGTCATGTATTCTTCCTCCATGATATCGCTACTAAATTGAATTAGTGGTTCACAGGTTTCACAACAAGAGTGGTGGTTAAGAGAACACAAGTTTATATTCAATTTATATAACATTTTAAACGTACTGTTCAGGTCTAAACAGTTTGAGTTTGAACTTTTTTATTTCATTTTTTCTTCATTCTTATATGTTATAATTGTTCTTTATGCTAATTACCAATGGTAATAGTAGGGATTTTATTTCAGTATTACATCTAAATCCTTCACAATGGCAATGGCAAGTTGGGACCAACTGGAAAACATTGCCTGTGTGCTAAAAAAACAGAAATGTTTTTTCTTATTACTATTTTAATAATTTGGTCAGTATTTGCTAATATAGTGTTTTTATTGTATTCAGTGGCACCAGAAGGTTAAGTGTTGTACCCAATCAAACTGCAGAAAAAAAGTGTTTATTGGTTTACTAAATTTGCCTGCACACTTTAAAACCATTTCAGTCTAGCAGTAAAAAGCATTATACTTAATATTTATAAATAAAATAACACATTTTAATCACCACTATTAAGTCAAACTTACAGTTAGGAAATATTTGACCCATGCTTTCAAACTAATTTATATTTGAGACTACACAGTTTAATAGGAAAGCTGACAATATTTGGGTGAGAAGGTACCGTAGGAAGGCAGTGTACCTTGTAATTCATCCAACGCTATAAATCATTTTTAGGAGATACTGCATTCTTGTGCATGTATACTGGTTATGGAACTCTAATTTGCTTCTAATATTCTTTTTATTTGAAACTTGGTACTTAATATATTGATGTATATTGCTGTAGTATGAGATGATTCTGCAGTCTGGGTATGTTTTAGCATTTACACATTCCGACAAAGAGCACATTTCTATATATTTATTCATGAAATGTATGCATTGTCATGACAAACAAAAATAATTTGATTGAGCAATGCTAGGCACAGTGTGTAGTTGAGGGTGTATGAGTCAGTCACTTAATGAATAGGGCCTCTCCTAACCTAACCCATGTCCAAAAAATTGGCAGATCATGATGCTCAGTTGAAGTTTTATAATGTTTACATTAAAAACGAATCCACAGAAAAAACAAAGGACATGGCCGATTTTAAGCTATTTGTTGCACTCTGGTTAGTAAGCACTAAGACACTAATATATCTATATACCCATTACAGAACTGACATAAATTCAAAAGAAAGGTCACAGCTGTAGAAAAGAAAAGGTACATGTTTGAGTTGAAATGCCACAATAAAAATAATGACATCATATACAGTAGTCCTGTTACTAATTGGTTCACTTGAGCGTCTACTTTGGAATTTGGCAAACAGTAAAGACTGGAATATAGGACTACTAGATTTAAGATGCTTATGCATGCCCAATTTATTGTTGAACCAAACTCCAAAAAAAGTTAAACTGTCTACACACCTTGCTAAAACTGTTAAATATCCCACTACAATATTTGCATTTCTCCACCTCTTAGCTCCCGATGAGTACTAGATACTGGGACTGAGACATGCTAGGAGTGGGCATGCGGAAAGTGCCTCAAACAGCAACAGCAGTGGCAGAAATTCAGTGGAACTGCCTGCACACATAATCATATTTCTATTAATCTTTTCATAGGTTTAAAGGAAAGGTGTAGGATAGCTTCACTTTTGTTTAGCCTTTAGCTGCACTTTATGGGGACCTACAGTATAGTCACAAATAAGCCCAAAAGGTCAAAGTGTATGCAGGTTGACTTTAAGGGACTGCCACCAGGATACTGCTCACACTGAACTATCCAGTCAGTAGTACCACTTGATATCAGTCCACAAAGTTCCCCTGCATCTATCCAGACCATTTACCCATTTACCAGATTGATGCAAGATTACTTATATTGCAGAAAAGTGTAGGGTTTTCTGTCATTGCATTAACATTTTGTTATCACATGCAGGCTGAATATTATTACAAATGTGGATGAGTTTTTAATTGTAGGTCCCCTAGAATCCTTCATGCATTAATTGGTTGATCTTATCATGCATGACTCTCTGGTAGGGTCATGTTGCTTGTTAAGCAGGATAATTAAGATTAAGATTTACAAACACAATACAGGTATTATATTACTATAAAAATGCAGTTTACAACAAATGCTGCATCACCTATTTTTTTTAAGTACCTTTAACATAAAAAAAGTTATTTGACACAAACTAAATCACAACCATACTGGTTTACATTCGAGTCGAAAGAAAACAAAACAAATTTATTTGTTCTTTTATTGTTATGTACCTACCATGTGGAACATATGAGGCTTATGATTACTGTGTTTGTTTGCATTAAATCTGTAACAGTATAAAGCTTACTTTAATCACTATATTTATGTTGGCATGTTGTTTCATTGTATAGACCTTTATAAAAACTCCACTAACTTCTTGTAGATCAGTAATATACCCACAATATGTGGGAATAGCTGTGTATTTCTGCACAGTTTACTTTCAAAGTTGGTCCCCTGGAAATTCTTATTTTCCTTTCCACATTACTGCAAAGCATATAATTCATTTGATTTAAAAAGTATTCTTGACTAAATTTAATGTTTATCTTAAGTATAATGGAGAAAAATAAAAAAAAGTGAATTTTCTTTTATACAGTTTATGTATAGTTTGCAAAATAAAGACTCTTGTAACCACTTGTGGCTCTTTATGGCAATCACAATATACAGTAGCTTCACAGGGATTTTAGGGAATGTTTGGTGTGTGCATGGATAATGAATGTCATCTTTTTTCATGGAAGAGGGGGAGCCATAGCACTGCGCATGGTAAGTTTGATATTGGCAGATGGTTTTGAGAAACAAGGGTAACCACAACAGCCCCTGCTTTAAGATCAGAAGACATATGTTTACACTCTGAAGATGAAATGTTCATAAATTACAGTAGATAATCATGCATATAACTGCATCAACTCTAAACAGAAAGGATTGTCTAAAATAAAGTTGGACTTCTACTGATCTAATGTTTGTTTCTTCTGAAAATTACAAATTAATCTTTCAGGCAAATCAGGTCATGGAGAAACAGCAATATGTCAGTCTGCTGTAAAAGGCACAGTTAACTGTAAATGTTCACATACAAATTCTCTTGTGAGCAAACACAAAACTAAACCTCTCAAAATTTTCATGAAAACATGCTTCCCTTTTAGAGATGGCAGCTGAAATGTTGTTTGCACCAGGTAAATGTGGATAATAATATGTAACTGACAGTCTGCAATATTTATTTCCTGGTAACATATAAGGGTGAATTTAAAAAATATTTGCAGAGCTGTTCACTGTGTGAACATTTAGAGGGTTAGTCACTAAGGAGCCAAAGGATCTAGCTGTAGCTTCGGCTGATCCTTTGGGGGTGATTTACTAACCTAAACACACACACACACCAGGTGTGTGTGATTTTCACACAGCAAAACGTATTTATCAACCAAAAAGTCTCTAAAAGCATATTTCCACTAATGCCATATATGGAAAAATCATGCACATGATGCATATATAATGCTGCTTCACAGTTTAGACAAAAATGGTTAGCTCATGCATTTACATTCCTGCATTCATCAACGCAAGCAACATAACATAGAGCTAATTTACACCACATTACCTTGCAATTCATTGCAGGGCTTTCCACAACACACCTGCTGGGTGTGTACACACTACAAAGGTGTTTCGATTCCTCCCATAGATCATGCTGGGAGGGAACACACTACAGAGGTGTATACACGTTCGTGGTGTGTTTAAAAGGTTAGTAAATCAACCCCTTTGTCTCACTTCGGCCGCCGGAGCCCTTCGGTTCAGTGAAACTGAAGGGCTGCTGTATGGGTTATTCACATTAGCCCATACAGCAGCCGACTGGCTCAGCCAAGCCGAACACATATGCTTCGGCTTGGTTGTGCTATAGTTATAGCCGAAGCAGCGAGAACCGTCTGCCAACGCCAATCGTTCTCCCAGCAAATGACAACAACTGGGTGTGGCCAGCCGCGATGTCACAGTTGGCTACGCCCATTTGTTGCCATTAGTTAATGATTGACCAACATCCTCGGGTTATTTGAGAACACTGGGCTGTCATTAAATTACAACAACTAGGCGGCAGTGACGTCACGGCTGACTCTGCCCATTTGTTTTGATTTGTCCAGGACCTGCGGGAAGACTCTGACAGGTGCCAGTAAAATGTAAACAGTTGGGCAGAACTAGTGGTGATGTCACCACTAGCTCCGCCCAATTGTTTTTATTTTGCCGGCATCTGTCATATTGTTCATTCTGCGGCGGGAGTTCTTCTCATGCAGTCGGGTCGGCGGGCATCAGGTTTTTATTTATTTCGGCGAGACGTCATCGTCGTGGACAATGCTGGATGTCGTGATTG